CAGAGCAGAGCTGCTCCAGCCCTCGCAGCAGCTCCGGGGCCTCCTCTGGACTCGCTTCAGCAGCTCCACATCCCTCTGGTGCTGTTGCCCCAGAGCTGGATCAGGGCTGCAGGGGGGGTCTCCCCAGAGCACAGCAGAGGGGTAGAATCCCCTCCCTCGACGTGCTGCTCAGGCTCTGGGGGTGCAGCCCAGCACATGGGGGGGTTCTGGGCCAAGCACACACTGAAGCCAGGTCATGGTCATGAAATATTACAGAAGTTAAAGGAAACACTTTCAGCTCCGCTACCAATCACTTGCCTTCTTAAAAATGAATGTTTCTTTGCTGTAGCCAAAATCATTTAATGCTTTTTTTTGTTATTATTTAAAGCAGAACAGAGCCTTTCAGAACGTATTTGCAATAAACAAAGCCATGGTTATACTTGCTGTTTGAGAAAAGCAGGTGTGTTAGGTTCTCTGGTAATGGAATCTTGAAATATTTGGGAATATTCACGTCTATTTGACCATACCAAAAATGAAATAACACTGGGGGAAGTAAGAGGTCTGTTTTATGCTGAACTTGTGGATCTCTGCACACTCCATTGTGTATCTTTGCATTTTCAGACTGGATGCTAAAAACTGCAAACGTATTAATCTGGGGGGGTGTCAAGCAGCTGTGTACCTCCAACGCCTCCTTCAGCTGAAATACCCGGGGCATTTTGCTGCCATCACTCTCAGTCGCATGGAGGAAATACTGCACGAGCATAGCTATGTTGCAGAGGACTATATAGAAGGTAAAACCAGCTGTAAATTGCCACTAGATAGTGCTCACCCAGACTTAGTTTTCTCCTTTATATCCCTTGCTCTCAAGTTGTCTAGGATTCTGGCAGAAAAACTCTACTGCTGTTTTGGTTTCTTTATAGCTTTCTGGTAATCTACCTCATGGTACAGTACAGTTTCAACAACAGTTTCAAATTTAACATTAAGAGAGAAACAAAATTGAATTTCAGAAAAAAAACCTGTATTAGTTCAAATTTCTCTGTGAATAAAAATCGTGATTATTTCAGAGAAAAAGATTTTAAAATGAGTTTATTTTGTTAGTTATTTTATAGTTCCAACAGAACATTAAATTTCCTAGGATGATTCAAGCATCTGGCTGTGTTTCTTGTGTGCTTTAAGGTTTCCAAAATTGCAGAGGACAATTCTCATGGCGTTTTGTGAATAAAAGAAGTTTTAAAAATTTCCATGGTAAATGTAATCTTAAGTAATGGCTGAAGAAAAGCGTTTTCATAAATTTGTCACTTACGCAAGAGCCTGCAGAAATCCTTAGACATGTGTGAGAACTCGCCCTTACCTTGGGAAGAGAAGACACTGGTGTGCACTTCCCACTCTGGTATGCAGGAGATCAGAGCACTAAGAACCGTGGGCACCAAGTGTGTGACTGGGAGGTAGTGCTCTGAAGGGGAAGCTAAACACTGGAGCAGCTGCCCAGAGGTGACGGAATCCTAGGCTGGACCATTGCCTTCTTTCTTCTAAGTCTGAGTTTAGCATGGAGCACATACAACATACAAATTGTTGTTTTCAGCCCGGCTAAAACAGTTATTTTGCTTTCAAAACATTCAGAGCTACAGAAGTGGCAGTCCCCAGAGTACTACGAGAACAACATGCACAAGATGCAGCTGCCTTTCTCTAACAAACTGCTGGGGAGCACTCTGACATCGGAGGAAAAGCAGGAGAGGCGGCAGCAGCAGTTACGTAGACTTCAAGAACTCAATGCACGTCGTCGAGAAGAGAAGCTACAACTTGACCAAGAGAGGCTGGACAGGTTACTGTACGTACAGGTAATCAAGGCAGAGTTTTCCGTGTGACCTTCTGGGAGGAGGGCAGGCTGCCTTCAGAGCCTGATCAGAACGTCATGCACTACTGTAAAGAATCATAGACTCGTAGACCTGTTTGGGTTGGAAAGGACCTTAAAGCTCCTCCAGCTCCAACCCCTGCCACGGGCAGGGACACCTTCCACTAGAGCAGGTTGCTCCAAGCCCCTGTGTCCAACGTGGCCTTGAACACTGCCAGGGATGGGGCAGCCACAGTTTCTCTGGGCACCCTGTGCCAACGCCTCAGCACCCTCCCAGGGAAGAGCTTCTGCCCAAGAGCTCATCTCAATCTCCCTTTCTAAAGAACTACAACTGTTCTGTGTGTTTTCTGATATGAGCTTTTTAAGCTTACCTGCAGGATAAAAGGGAGAGATTACTGATGTAGAGGATGCTGTCAGGTTCTGAACAGTACTTCTTTTGTGAACTATTTTGAATGCTGCCAAAGCATGTACACCATAATACCTGGTGATGAAAGCGAAGTACATGCACAGTTAACAGACAGTTGATTGCCCTGTCATCACAGCTAACTCTGTCTGTAGGAACTTTTAGAAGATGGTCAAATGGATCAATTCCACAAAGCTTTGGTGGAGCTGAACATGGACTCTGCGGAAGAACTTCAGTCTTACATCAACAAATTGAGTCTGTCTGTTGAACAAACCAAGCAGAAAATCCTACAGGCAGAAGTCAATATTGAAGTAGATGTTGTGGACAGCAAGCCAGAGGTATAGTGTTTTCACCAAGTTAATCCTCTTCCTATCTTTGAGAGAATCTAAGTTTCTACACTTGAAAATGTACCCTTTCAGACTTTTACTGATGAACTAAGCTTTTCCTCTAACACACTGCAACTCATTGTTATTTTGGCAACTGCTTCTCTTTTCCAGCTTTACTGTGCAGCTACAGAAAATGACAGTTGAGTAGGCCTAAGATCAGTAACCCTTATGCTGGTCTGCACTGTGCTCTGGTACATACCTTTGGAGTTTGATTCCATAGAGCGCTAAGCAAAATCTCTAGGCTTTTCCTGACAGTAGTTGAAGTATAGCTATATGAAATCGGTTAAATTGCCTTAAAAATTTCTTGCACATCTTTAAGAAGTTGGAGGAGACAAGAGAATAGTTCTGGTTACTTAAAGTTAACTTGCTTGGAGGTTGTAAATGCAGCAGCTAACATAATGATTTTGTTCATACTTTAAACCAACCTCTAACTGCTTTTGCATTAATTTTGGTGAAATAAGTGGGCCTGGTATGTTAAAGATTTCCCCCTCCCCCCAGTGTCTGACAGTTAAATGACATTGAATTTTAAGTACTTAAACCTCAGATGCTTATAATCCTAAAACAACAGCCTTAAGTGTCAGTAGTGGTCTATTAAAGGTACAGGAGAACATATGAAGCTTTTTGTTAAAAAAAGTATCAGTTTTCCTTTCTGTTCCTCCCTTTCAGGTGCAGAAAACTTCATGGTAAACAACCACCCTTTGCCTTCATTCTGGCTATCTTTGTTTGGTGCAGATAAGCAGTATATTCTGTTTTGTTTACTTAACAATGAAAGATGCATTGCTGCACTTGATTGTTGGGGTTGTCTTGAAGATGAGAAGCTTAATTGTCTGCTTTGTCAGACTAATACGGACCCAACACATAGCTGCTTCTAAGAGATTGTCTAAGGCTGTTTGTGGATTTACTTACAATTGCCTTTCAAGTCACATAAGAGAGAACTTTCTTAGTTAAATCAGTCTTTGGTTAGGAACAGATAGAGAGGAAAACAGAAAATTGAAGCACAGAGGAGAGTGCCAGGTGCCAGGTACAGGAGTTCATGTGTCTTACATGGAGCTTGAGATGTAGCCAAAACTAGCCGGTGAGCTGATACCTTCTAGGTGTTATATTTTGCCTATCCTTATCAGTAAAGCTTGTGTAAGAATCAGAATGACTGCGTTTGAGTGAAATTGAGGTAGATGATGAGCTTACCATTGTGGTAAGGAACCTTTCTGCCCTCCGCCAAAAGAAGTTGTTCTAGAAAAAGATTAACTGAAAGACTATCAGCTTCTCGTAATTTTGCTCAGCGGTTGTGCCTAAGTTCCAACATATCCCCTGCTCCTTTGCTAGGTGTAGTCTCAGGCCTTGGAATGAAGTGGAAAGCCTTTTTGTTTCATCTGTGCTTTGTGAGAGCACCTATGGTTATCACTGAATCCTTTTGTGAAGATGGGCCATCCCTCTGCCTGTGCAGAGGAGTCTGAAAGCTAATTATGTTGTCCTGGGGTCTGTATCAAGTCTTTAGCTGAGTTTTGTGCTTCTTTCTGTTGCTGTTTGTTTGGGGTTTTTTTAAAAGACATAAGAAGAAAGGGATTTAACAAAGCATAAGCATTGGAGATAAGTTCAGGTGACTTAAGATTTGTTTGCTGTAAGGAGGAACACTGCTTACACTTCAGTTTGAGTAATTGCTTGGGGTTTAAGTGGTTATAAGCTAGATACTTAAGAATGCTTAAATAATCTAGCTTTATCTCACCCTGGTGTTGCTTGCTAGACATTGTAGCAAACCTTTCCAGTTTAAAATAACAAAACCAAATCTTTAGCAACAAAATACCACAGGTAACACTGTACCACAAAAGTAAAGGAGGCAATTAATCCCCTGCTTTTACTTTACAACCATTAAGTACTCTAGTACTTGAGTGATGCGTTAGGAAAGAGCTTTTGGAGCACCTTCATGTCTGTGTCAAATATAAGGACTTTTGATACATTCAAATGCCAGGCAGTTGAAACTGTCAAACATTGTGTGGCAGCTTTGAGCTGGCAAATATTTGTTTTCCAGTCCCATACAAGCTAGACAGGGAATTTAATGGTAATTATAGAGCAGTTAGAGGTGCTGTGAGTGCACTGAGTTTTAACTAATTTTAAAAGCTATTTTAGTAACTTTCAGTATGTTATTATGTGTAGGACGTGGCTGGCCAGGATCCTGTCAGTCAGCCTGTTGACTGAGGCCTTTCATTTCCCAGCTGGCATCATGATAAATTTGTTGAAAGTGTCATTTTTTTACGCTGTGAGCAAATGTCTGTCTTTACATCTGCTTGCTGGGGTGTTCACCATTTTGGTTTTTGTCTTCAGACAAAACAGCAGTATATTTGGTTTCAGGCGTGTTAAAAAATTGAGATTTGAGGAAACCAGCATTGAATTTTCCAAAAGCGTTACTAGGATCAGAGTTGTTTGTGCTCAGCGCACCTGAGCTGACCTCCCCTAATACATCTTCTTCTGTTTCCAGACTCCCGATTTGGATCCATTAGGCAGTGAGCAGTCACTGGAGGATGTGGAAAGTATTAATGAGTTTGAACCTTTATTTGCTGAGGAACAGCCTGAAGTTGAGAAGCCTGTTGCTGCAGTGCAGGTTTGATTTCTGTATCTACACCTCATGCCAGAGGTTGCTGCCTCCTGGTTGCACAGCTAGTCTGCTAACATTTCTCCAAATGCCAACATGGTTTGACTGCTCTTGGAAGAGATCCTTAAGTTTATCTGAACAGGACATTGAGAGAGGAGAAGTCCTTGCAGTCTTAGCTGGTGGTTTAGAACACGGTTATACCCATTTGGTTCACGCTGCAGGCAGTGCTCCTTTAGTGGTGCCATGTTACTAGGGAAAAAAGTCCCCAGTGTTTTTGTGTGTGGTCCACAGCCTGATGGTGCCTCCCTGTGGACACAGCTTTCAACTTGTGATATTGAGCCTTGGGGATTGAGTGGCACCAAACAGAAAGGAATATAGGAAAAGTCCTGCTTCCTTGGCTTTTTGGAACCTTTTGCAGCATGGCACTTTCTCTGCAAGAGCATTGTAATCTGGTTTTTGTACACATTGTTTGAAAACATTGCTCATTCTAGAATATTACTATTCTTTAACATAAGTTCCTACTACTTTTCAATCTCATCTTTTCAAAGCCCGTGTTTAACCTGGCAGAATACCACCAGCTTTTCCTTGGCACTGAAAGAATCAGGGCTCCAGAGATTGTTTTCCAGCCTTCCCTGATAGGAGAAGACCAGGCTGGTATAGCAGAAACCATGCAATATGTCCTTGAGAGGTGAGTTTACGAAGCTGCTTGGCACTCACTTCAGACAAGCTAGTCCTGTTTTGATAACAGCTTTTGCAATTCTGGTTACTTAGCAATAATTTGAGAAAATATGTTTGAATAGTTCTTGTGGTGGGGTTGAGCAGTGCAGGATAGACGTGTCTTTCTGTTCCTTGTCTTAAGTCAGTGGGCTCCAAACTTTTTTGATCAATTACCCATCAGTAAAAACTTTCTGAGTGTGCACCTCCACTATATGTATATTTGTAAATTACAGGTACTACTGAACTATTAGGTACATTTAAAAACATACACAAACCCAGAAATTAAAGAAAGATGAGATAAAAGTGAAACAAACACTGTTTTTGTTTATTTATTAATGGTACCAAAAAAATCATCTTCCTGCACCCCAATGGATTGTCCACACCCCACTTTGGAGACCCCTGGTCCAAATTTGTTACAGACAGAGACAACAAGCCCTGGTAATTATCCATCCCATGAAACAATGAGCTGGCAGCCTCTGTGTTTCTGAGACCAAAATCAGGGGGGACATTTTTAAGTTACGATATAAGCATGCTTGCTGGACAGCTATTTCCAGACAACTTAGCATTGGCAAAATGTCCCCTCTGAACTGTGTGAACATAGAGATTGCATTTTCTGAACTGTGAGAATTACAGCTCTACTGAGTTGTTGATTGACGGGGCACAGTGCACAGAGTGCTTTAAGGGTTTTCTCCTGCCACCCCAGAATTTTCACAAAACAAATGAACACAGGCTTCCATGCTATGGCAGTTTCTGAAAGTGAATCCTGAAGACAAGGTACTGGCATTCCCCATAGCTGTTCAGTTCATAGGAGAGATGTCCCTGAGGAGGACTGACACTGGTTTTTATTCCTTGTAGGTATCCAAAGGAACAACAAGCTATTCTTGTCCAGAATGTTTTTCTCACTGGTGGAAATACAATGTACCCTGGACTGAAAGCCAGAGTCCAGAAGGAACTCCTTGAAATGAGACCATTCCAGTCATCTTTTCAGGTACGTGTATTGACGCGATGTTTGCGTGAGCAGCCAGTTCATCTGTATTCAAAAGTAATTTGGGTTGAGAGAGGTGCAGAGCAGGTGGACTTAGAGCATGGGAATAGAGAGTGTTTTATGATGAGACACTGCAAACAGCTCTTTTGACCTGAGAAGGCAGCCGCTGTGAGGCCAGTAGCAGCCCCCTGGCATGCTGGGCCTATGGCTTCTCGGAGTCAGGTTGCTTGGGAATGCAGCCCAAAGCAGGAGGTAAACTCCATCTGAGGCAGAGAGTTGTGGTCAACGGATCAATGTCCAATTGGAGGCTGGGGATGAATGTGGTGTCCCTCAGTGGTCACTGTTGGGACTGATCCTGTTCAACATCTTTGTCAGTGACATGGACGGTGGGATCGAGCCCCTCAGCAGGTTTGTCAGAGACACGCAGTTATGTGGTTCAGGTGATATGCTGGAGGGAAGGGATGGGATGCAGAGGGACCGGGACACACTTGAGAGGTGGCCAGTGCCAACCTCATGAAGTTCAACAATGTGAAGTACAAGGTCTTACACTTGGGTCGGGGCAATCCCGGGCACAGCTACAGGTTGGGCAGAGAAGGACTTGGGGGTGCTGGCTGATGAGAAACTGAACATGAGCCACTTCAGTGTGTGCTTGAGGCCAGAAACCACCCATGTGGTGGGCTGCATCAAAAGGAGCGTGACCAGCAGGTCGAAGGAGGTGATCCTGCTCCAAACAAAGGTCACTTGTTCCAAATAGTAACTGTCTGCACATTTCTAGTCTAACATACCTGTGTGTGCATGGCCCTTTAACTGAAGCAGGTTTTCCATTCCAAGACATCTACACTGCTCTCTCAAACGTCTTCAGAAAGAGCACCTATATCTTTCCTGAATCTTTACCTTAGAATCATAGAATCACAGACTGGATTGGATTGGAAAGGACCTTAAGATGATCCAGATCCAACCCTCCTGCCATGGGCAGGGATGCCTCACCCTAGACCATGTTGTCCAAGGCTCTGTCCAGCCTGGCCAGAGAGCTGTGGGTTGGGAATGTGATACACCCATTTGCTTTCTCAACCTGTAGGAACAAAGCAGCCTCATAGAGAATTGATCCCAAGGTCAAAATACATTTCAAACCCATTCCTAATATTGCTCTTACCCAGAGGCACTGAATAATCAGCTCAGACTTCTGAAATTCAGTGGTTTGTGTCATATACCACTCTACTCAGGTATAGAAGAGAAAAGGGGCTTTTCTCTCCTATGTTGAACTGACATCATTGTTCTGTTTTCCTTCCATCCAGGTTTACCTTGCTTCCAGTCCTGTTTTAGATGCCTGGTATGGGGCTAGGGATTGGGCAGTGGAATATATGACCCGTGATGAAGGCTGGATAACCAGAAAAGACTATGAAGAAAAAGGGGGAGAATACCTCAAGGAACACTGTGCTTCAAATGTCTATGTGCCCATTCGCCTTCCAAAGCAGGCCCCACGGACAACAGAGACATTAGCACCTAGCAGAGTGCTGACATCCAGCACAGGCAATCCCTGTGAGCAGGCCTAGCACCATGCCTTGGTCACAGACCCTTGAATGGAGATAACACCACGGGGAAAAGGAGTTACTGGTGTACAGCATGAGCTGGGCACGGAGCACAGGCCTCAGCTGCTCCGAGAGCCCCAAGCATCTCATCCAGTTCCTTGAACAAGGAGAACGAGCCACACTGGGGCATCGGCTGCAAGGTCCTGGCACTTGGAATGCTCAGCACAGAGCATGGGAGTGCGCACCAGCAAGGAGGAACACCACAGAACTGCGTTCCGGAGAAAAACACCATCTGAGAAACTTCCACAGCAAGACTCGAGGGGGGTTTTAGAGTCTGTTTTACAGCTTTTGTTCTTCAATTAAAATGTTCTGGGTTTATACTGCTTTCACTGCACGATGCAGGAGCTGCGCTCGTCTCAAGCGGGCAGCCCCGTGCCCCTCCCAGCACGTGTTTGTCAGCACACGTTGTGCTGCGGAGCCCGAGCTGTGCCTTCCCCTCTGAGGCTGCCTGCACTCCTGTCTGCTGCCATTGCCTGCCCGCCACTCAATGAACCAGCAGAGAGATTTCACATACTTTTGGCTTAAATTAAGTCAGTTATATTGATGCCTTGGCTGAAACTGTAGAGCTGGTCACGTGAAGTGCTGTCCAGCTGTGACGACAGGATGCTCCATAAGGTGCAGGCCAAGTGCAGTCAGTCATTAAGAGGTTTTACAGGGTGGTGGCTGAGCAAGGCAGTTCTTGACTGATGGGACTGTTCGATCAAAATTTGCCTTTGCTTTACCACTAGCTTATGTGTTTCAGTGGTTTGACCTCTTTAAAGACCACAGCAATAAGGATGAGTTGTACGTTGCAGGTTTGCAGCCAGGCCCCTGTCCTGCTGCACAACATACTCTAGCTTAAATTTGCCTGATGATTCATTTACTGCACTGAACAACTTGCTTGCTTTCCCAAAATAATACTCAGTGCCAAATGGTGAGCTGAAATCCGAGCAGACTCTATCACTTTGGCAGAAGCTGTAAACTGTTAGGCTGGAAAAGGTAAGACCATGGGGAAAATATCCAGACCATAACTGCTTAAAAAAGGTGAAGAGGTGGTGGCTTACTGTCCCCAGGGGCTGCAGAGCATCAATACAAGTTGTCTCTCAGGTGGGATAGAGGTCTCAGTGAATGTCTGCCTTGGTCGTAAGAGGCTGCTGGGCAGGGGCAGAGGAGGAGAAGGCAGCTTGCTACCTTCAGGTAACCTTAAGTTTGGACTAATGATCCTGCATGGAGGCATACTAACCTTCAGGACTGTTCAGGCAATTCTGTGGGTAGTAAAGAATGTGGAAAAACATGCTGTGCTGAAATACCAGCATGTCTTTTCTAATACCAGCTTATATCAGTGGCCTGGCGTATGTGATATCCTGTTGCTGTTTGACCCCTTTCTGACACATCTTTAACTATTGCTGCAAGTGGCTACTTAGGATACAGAAACCTGGGTTCTTGGTGTTGGTTGCTGAATAGATCAGAGGGTGTTGCGCATAAAACTGTTCCAAAATGAAGGCCTAAAAGGGCATCCGTAGCAGATGATTATATTACTTTTAAATGTTTAGCCAAATTATGCCAACCACTTCACTTGCATTAACTCAAAGCAGAGCTGTATAGTTCTGTACAGAGATGCCGGATCAGCTGCTTAAACAGCTTCAAGGAAGCATAATTTTATCATCTCCTAAGTATTAGCTGTTAATTTGTTACTTTATCACCACAATAGCTGGAGTAACTAATGAACTTGGGCAGTGTCATTGGTCACAGGCTGTTCTGAAGGAGCTGGTGGGCATTCAGTTCCTTGGATTAGCACCATGAGAAGCATGAACATTGCAGGATTAATTTTAGCCATTTAAGTTCAGTTCCCCCATAGGATTTGCTGTGGTGCTACATGAGCATTGGTGCTGGAAGGATTAAAAAAGGAGGAGTGAGAGGGAAGCAGGCCAGTAAGGCACCTGCTTGGCCTCTTTTTAATGGGACTTCAGGTTGTGTGAGGAGCAGTAGGAGGAATTGTTACAAAGATCATTCTGTGGACATGAAGCTTGAACTGATGCTGTGAGGGCCTTTGCGAGGTGGTGGGAGGACTGCTGTTGAGTGAGCTGCTGTGCAGGCAGCTCCAGAACCTGTGGTGTGTTTATCCTGGCTGGTGACCTGCAAGATGCAAAGTACAGTGGCCGGTTCAGAGGTGGTCAAGTGGTTCCCGTTTGAGCCTCAGTATATTAAGTTCAAAGCAACCTGTAACCTAATTATACAATTCAGTCATCACCTAATTCGGGTCAAAGAATACAAAAGTACAAGTTTCAGTTTAACAGCTGTGGTGAGCTTGGTCTATTTATTGTAAAAGAGAGCTCAAACTGGGTTCCACTTTTCAGTGTCCCTAAGACCTGCTCCGAGTGGAAACACCACGTCAGAGAGAAGCCCTGGAGACTAAACATGGATCATGTGTTTAATGTCCCAGATTTCCGTCTGAGCTGCATTCGAGCCTTGCTTTTGGTCTTCAAGGCTTCTTCTGTTTCCTGTGCCACAGCAACTTCAAACATGAACCGTTCTTTGCTAAATCTCCACTAGGACACCAAGATTAGAACGCTTTGCTCCAGTTACTAATCTCCGAAATACTTAATGTGCTGTGTATGGCAGTATTCCAGAAGAAAGAAGATGCCCATGAACTGTCACTTGAAATTTAGGATTATCCCTCCAGAGACAGCCTGCAATGATCCTCTAGCAGTCATACACCAGAAGTTTTGAAGCTTGTGTGGGATGAGCAGGGGAGGGGAGAATGCTGTAACAGATTTAACATTATCCCTAAAGTCATATGGTGGGGTTTCTACTCTGGTTCCACGCGTCAGGCACAGAGCAGCTGTGCTGATTCCCATTGCTCACTCCCACTGCTTTGTGCAGAGAGCGAGCTGCTCCCCCAGCATCAGCCTCAACAAAGCTGCTTGGTTTTAACCCCTGACATGGTTTGCCAGTTCTTCAGGCTCCTTTTGCTCCTTCCTTAGGGATCTTTCCTTCCTCTTTTTGAGCAGTGGGCTCACTTTCCATTTCTTAACACAGCAGAGACTGTGATGAGAGTGCTGCACCCAGAGTCAGGAGACCTGCATCCATTTCTGTGTCTGTTCACTCATGACAGATTGTGGCTGTTTGCTCTGACCTCAGTTCTGTGCCTCAGCATCTGTAACAGCAGAGCTAATCTGAGAATGCTGCTAGCAGAGGGTAGTTACTGTAGAAGACATTAAGGATGGTGGGAAGGCTGGAAAGGGGTTTGTGGGGTAGGAGGGGAGGTCAAGTGAAATGAAGGAGAATAGACTCATCTGTGCTTAATGCACAATGGGCCACGTGGAAGGTGCCTGAAGATGGAAGAAGTGTACAGGAGGGTCAGAATCACTCCGTGCAGGTGTGCTTTTCTTCTGGAGCAGTTGCTGTTGACCACTGACAGAATATGAAGCAAGCTGAATTTATGGTCTGACTCAGACGCTTTCACTCTCTCTTAAAATTCCGGGGTTTAGGCAGGACTAGTTTTTTAGCTTTTTATTTATTTCAGGGCTGAGATGAAGTATCAAGCATCTTCTCCCTTCATCTCTCTGGAAATATATGTGCTGTGCTGGTGGGGACAGCATCTTTTATGTTGCCAGTGAGATTCTGTGAAGGCATCCAGTTCCCTGCCCTCCTGGTAGCCATAGTCTGTTACATCAAGGGGAAGCTCAGCCCTGTGGAAGCTCGGTGCACTGCTCTCACAGGTCTGGCCAGACAGATGAGCTTTACAACACGTGAGCAAAAAAGGCTTTATTTAAACCTTTGTCGAATGAATTCCGGAGAGGAGAGACCTTTGAATAGCATCTGAGCTCCTTGTGTTTGAACTACTTGGAAATACGGAAGACCTCAGTGCATTGGCTGCCTTCCTTACTTACATGAGGGGCAAGGGTGTGTGGTGGGCCTCAGGGTAGGAGAAGTTCAGATGGGTGATGGCAACCTGCAGCCCCAAAAGCCTCATAGCTGCTGCAGTGGCCCGTGGGGGTGTCTGTGTAAGTGCTTTCATAGAATCCTAGAATAGTTAGGGTTGGAAAGGACCTTAAGATCATCTAGTTCCAACTCCCCTGCCATGGACACTAAACCATGTCACCCAAGACTCCATCTAGTCTGGCCTTGAACATTGACAGGGATGGAGCATTTACCACTTCTCTGGGTGGTACTACTTCTCTGGATGCACAGGTTTGTGCATCCTTAAACTGAGTTGTATCTCCCTTGGGTTAAGCATGTGCATTACCATGGCTGGTGTGGCTTCTCAGGAAGCTATACAAGAAGAAATACATTTCAGATCTTGATCCTTAGATTGTCTGGGGTTTTTTACCACGCTACAGCTTAGTTAAAATACACCCCACTCCTCCTCTCACCCCAGATTCCTGCCACATACCTGGCATTCCTTCATCCTTAATGAGATGAAGGAGTGGGGGATTTCACCCTCCTGGAATTTTAGAGGAATACTAAGTGGATTTCTCATGAAAAGCCCTATTTAGGGTACAAATCTCCCTGAAAGAGAGTCCCCCTGTGGCAAACCTTTCTTTTGCTGCTAATACTTAACAAAGAGTTTAGGTCCTCCTTTAATAGCTATTTTGGAATATATAGCAATGTATATAAAATACATATCTATACTTGAAATACATAGCAATAGCAACCTGGCACAGGGCGCCCAAAGAAGCTGTGGCTGCCCCATCCCTGGCAGTGTTCAAGGCCAGGTTGGACACAGGGGCTTGGAGCAACCTGCTCTAGTGGAAGGTGTCCCTGCCCGGGGCAGGATGAGCTTTAACATCCCTGCCAACCCAAACCATTCCATGGTTCATTGATTCTGCTTCGGCAGATTGATGGAGACCATGTTGGAACAAGGTCCTGGGAGTGTGGATGAAGCAGAAGAGACTCGCATCCTTGCAAATGTAGGTAGGGACACCAGTGGAACTCCTGGGCTGTTGGCACTTGAGATTTTACCAGTCACTACAGTGTGGACAAACTCTCCATAGACAAGGCAACATAAAGGTTGTTAAGTCAAAGTAGTTTTCTTCAGGCTCGGTCATTGATTGACCCTAATAAACACAAAGCTGGT